AGAAAGAAAAGCTTTGCAGAGAGTGGTGAAGGCTGCACAGAAATCTGTTGGAATCAGTCTCCCCACCATCACAGACATCTACACCTCCAGATGCAGGAAGAGGGCCACCTGCATCATGAAGGACCCCACTCACCCAGCACACTCACTTTTTGCCCCACTCCCCTCAGGAAGGAGGTTAAGGAGCATTAAGTGTAGAACCACTAGACTGAGGAACAGCTTCTACCCTGAGGCTGTTAGACTCATGAATCTCTAACCAGAATAATCACTGTGAAAAACCATATCATGTTGCTGCTGATCTGTTTCATGTTGCTGCTGATCTGTTTCAATGTTGATGTGTTCATGCGTGTACATCTGCTCACAGACTCATGTTCATGTTTGTGCTGATGTTCAATGTTTTATGTTATGAGTGCTTAGTGTATATTTAGTTGATGTTTTTCTTAGTTCATATCTTAGATCTTATTACTGTTTTTCTTATACATTTTATTGTTGGATGTAACTGGGACCTTGTGTACATAATTTCGCTCCACCACATGTACCACATGAGGTGCGAATGACAATAAAGAAACTCTGACTCTGACTCTGAATTAATCTTGCTAAATGTGAGTTTGGCCAAGCAACAGTGACATATCTTGGAAGGGGAGGCCAGTTGCGTCCCGTTGAGGCTAAAGTAGAAGCTATTGTGTGTGTTCCTGTACCCACCACTCGTACTGAGCCACGACGGTTGGTTACCAGAGCCCTGTAAAGAGAGAGTTGCGACACTCCCATAGACTCCCATAGAAAGAATGGAATGCGGAAGTCACGTGGGTCATGAAGCGGCAAAGAGTTCCAAACAGCAGCGGGTTCAGCATTGAACGTAGTTCATTTTCCGTGTTTTTCCGGTAAGTTAATGCAAATACGACACTTTTTCTCCATTGTGAAGCGTTATCTGACTGTTCTGTACCACAATTTATCAACATTAATACTTCATGTCTCCAGTTTTAGTTAATGAAACGTTAAATTACTAGTAGTGTTTTAACTGCAGCTGCTCTGCAACATGACGGTTTAAACGGGTCTATTTCTAATTCAACGTTTTAAAATATCTATTACTGCTTAAATTTTGAAAGGTGGTCTTTTTTAAATTTATGGTAATTCCAGTTACTGAACTCAACTAGAAAATATTTGGCCTTTTTTTCCTGAGATTCATTCAACCTTTATTTAGACAGGTAAGTCCCATTGAGCCTCGAGGACTCATTTACAAGAGAGACCTGATTTAACAAATAATGACAACATGACAACAAGACTGACGTAATTTAGTTAAAGTTATAGATCATTTGTCAAAGATTGCAGCATAAATTGTGACATTATCATTAAAGAAAAACGTGATTGTGGAGATTAGTCAATTTTTTTCATGTTTTCCAGGTAAACCAGAGGAGAATGACTTCATGAACTGAATGTTGCATTCAAAGTATCACAAAGGTACAAGATCTCATTTTCTGTCTTCTATTAATCAATAACAGCTTAATCAAGATGTTTGAATAAAATTAACACCATAACCTTCACAAAGTTGGTATTTACTGCAGGACTGTTCATTTACATTAGTTTTATATTATTAGTTTAGTGTTTGGTAATCATGGGTCAAGTTGAGATGAGACTCTCTCAAGACAGAACAAGAAATAAGAATTATTACAAGAATATATCAGCATCAATAAACTGTAGAACAGTAACAAAAAACTTATTAAACTATCACAGGTACATTGAGATGGAGCTGGAAGTTATTCTTCATGCCAGTTGTCTTCATCTGATCTTTTGTAAAAATATGTCAAAATTTATTTTCCATTGTTAATATTTTTCTTCGTAGGACTAAGTTAATTTTCTTGTCGGTGAGTTTCTTCTGTCCTGCTTATGTATTTTTTTGTGTTCTAATTGTTCCTCAGGTTGTTCATCTCTGTTCCCTGACTGCCTGTTGATCCATCCTCCTGGTCCTGTTGATCCATCCTCCTGGTCCTGTTGATCCTGGATCATCAGATCCTGACATGTCCCCGTCCTCTGAGGACACATTTTCATCTGTCCCTCCTCTCACTCGCCTCATTTCTGTTTCTTCCTCAGTCTCTGAAATTACAACGTCACTGTTAGAATGAAGATTATTGTTCAATAAAAAATATGACATGTCTTATTTAACATTGTTCGTACCAAAGTTTAATTTAGAACAACACGTGTGCTCACTGGTCAGATCACTGGTCAGGTCACTGGTCAGATCACTGGTCAGGTCACTGGTCAGTGGAAGTTCTGCGGTTCTTCTCATCTGGTTCTGGTCCATGAACAAATGGATGAACCTCCTTCAGTCTCACTCGTCCTCACTGTGTCTCTGTGAACTGTCCTCTCTCTAAATGTGCCTGTAGAGTGACATTAGATTATTTTCTTGCACATTTCTTTGACAGTTAAACATTTTGAGCCCTGATTGAAAATGTTTGTGCAGATTAAATTTACAGCTCTCACTTTGTGTTGTTGTGATGATGATGATGATGATGGTGCTGCTGCTGACTTGAGATGATGTCATTAATAAACAGTATAAATAGTAGTAAAAGTACTTTATTAAAGCTTGCTTTACATTTTACATATTTTATAATTGTTTGGAAATTTATTTTTGCACAGTTAACACTTATTTTGCCATCTGTTATGATTTTAACTAGAAACAGTTTCATTTAAATTAACATTTTAATCAATGAATTACAGTTTTACAATAGTTGTCAGGCTACAATCAACTCAGTTATCAGGTACTTGGTTGCCATAAAAAAACGACAAATACAACAATTATATTCAGTCTCTCTTGTAAATGAGTCCTCGTGGCTCAATGGGACGAACCTGTTTAAATAAAGGTTGAATTAATATCTTCTATAGAAATCAAGAATTCATCCAGATGATCTGAGGTAAGCTGGAGCAGATCTGATGCTGCATGGAGGACAAGGTGGAGCATTCTCATGCAGAGAACATCAGAAATAGCTTTATAACAGCTGTTACTCTGATCTTTTTTTAACGTGTGTAACGTTATAAAACACTGACATGGCTATATTGATCATTGTATTGCATATACATTATTTTTTCTAACAAATATGTGTTTGCAGTCTCGTTTCCTTCTAAAATTTAATGATAAATGTATCAGCCGCTTCTAAAAATGTTTTGATAAAATGCTTAGTCTGTGAAATAATCAATAATCGGTTAAGTAATCAGTTCGTTACTGCTCAGCAATTACTGAAAGACGTCAGGTAAAGTAAGAAAAGTCGATTTTTGTGTTATGTTGTGCCAGCAGCCGCTCAAACTGACTGACAGCGATGAGCTGTTTGGAACTATGGGGAGCTGCATGAACCACGTGACCGCGTATCGGCGAGTTCAAAGAGTGTCGCAACTCTCTCTTTACAGGGCTCTGTTGGTTACTATAGGGGTTTTTGAAAAACTTTTCTTCTGTAGCTGCCCCTTTAACAGAACTAATTAACCCGAAAGTGGATTTTATTTGGTCTGATCGATGTCAATCTGCTTTCGAGCAGACTAAATGTTTGCTCATCAGCGCTCCTGCGTTGTCTGCCCCTCGCTTTGATGCGCCCTTTAAGGTCGTTTTCACACCAGATAGTCCGGTAGACTCTGTTTGGTTCGGGACCAATATTCATGACCTTTTGTTTACATTTGATCTGGTGCGTTTTCATTCACACTGCACTGTGCAGTCAAGTCAAACTGTTGAACCAACCTGTTCCCCCGCTCGCCTGAGGGGCGCTGCACCAAGAACTACTGAAAGAAACGACACAAAAACCTCTGAAGACACGTCTTCTTCTTCTGTAAATAAAAATAAAAACGAAGTGGCGTCAAGTTTTAGCAGTTTTAGGAGTTATATTTTGTAATTTTTCAAAAATGGACTTAGAATATTGTTTTTCCTCACAAGGCAGCTGACTGCTCCATATGAAGTAAGAGAAATGCGTGTTTGTTTGCCCTGCGCTGTACTCCACTTCTTACTTGTGGAGCGGGGCCCAGTCTGATTGCATTCACACTGTACTCGAACCGCGCTGGAGTTTTCTTCTACCGGTCCGAGACCTAGGTTTTAGCCTGGGCCAGTGTTCGCCTTTTTGTTCCGTGACACAGTTCAATGGCACGTTCACACCTCCCCAAACGAACCGGACTTACTACGAAAACGAGCTCAAGTTTGATTAAAGCGGACTAAAGAGGGCTTGTGTGAATGCACCCTCAGAAGCTCTCTCCCTTTTGGGCCTCCTTTGTTTGGACTTTTTTTTTTTTCTTTTTTTTGCCGCCGTAGTTTTCCCAGGGCCCTTGTTTTTTCTTTGTCCTGGAGCTGTGGCCTGCTACCAGCGGCCTCGGCCACCACAGGTAATTTTGTTAACTTTTTGTATATTTTTATGTAACTTTGGCCTGGTGGGACTGGTTGTCCTGTTTTCATCCTTTTTTTTTTTTGTAATAGGTGTTTTTTTGCTTTTTTTTTTTTTTTTTTTGGTTTTGGTCTGGTACCAGCAGCGGCTTCGACGGCCCTGTATAGGGTTGGCCCACTGGAGTACCTTTTTGTTCTGTTTAACCGGGTCACCAGTTCCTTCTTTAAGTTAATACTTTGAGTTTTTTTTATTTTTGGGTGGACACGGGAATTAGGGGTTCATTATAATCTTTTTTTTTTCCCCTCCAGGAAGCTGCATAATAAATTAAATGTTTGAACCCATATTTGAATCTCGTATCTTCCTTTAATGTGCTATGTTCATGGTGGATGTAACATCCGCAATCAATTCAACATATAATTTTGTGCTGTGGAGTTTTAAATATTTCCATCTTGTTTTTGTTCAAGTTTCTGTTCCCATCTCTAAAAACTAAAGTTGATTTTAGACACACTAGTCTTCCTTTTAAACCATTACAAGAAGAGTTTTACTAGAGCGAGTGAAGGAAATATTCATTGCTCCTAGCTTCTGTTGTGTGAATTTAAAATGTTAAAGTTGATGTTGAACGTTGATCCAATAACCATATTGGGCCCACAGCCTAAAATTGTGTACATGGGGGAGAGTTTCTTTGAAGAAGGGATGAAACTGGAGGCCATTGATCCCCTCAACTTGGGAAACATCTGTGTTGCTACTGTGCACAAGGTACATGTTTTTACATTAGTCACTCTGCCTTCATCAGAAACACTGTTGGGGTTTGGTAGAGTTTATTAAAGCCCCACTTCATACCCGAGTTTTTTGTTTCCAGGTGCTGCTGGATGGATACTTGATGGTGGGCATTGATGGCACTGAATCAAACAAAGGCTCTGACAGGTTCTGTTACCATGCTTCTTCTCATGCCATTTTACCAGTCGGCTTCTGTAAAAAAAACAAAATCACTCTCACCGTTCCTAATGGTAAACACCTTTTTATTTCTAATTTACTTCACGCTTGCCCAATGTCTTAAAATTTTATTTTTTCCCTGCTAATAAGAATAAATTTTTTTGCAATTGATTCTGTATTTCAGTTGAAAATCATGTATGCATATGTATCTGCACCCCCCCCCCTCCCCCCGGCCCACACCTCCAACAGGTTGCAATCCTCAGACCTTCACCTGGAAAACTTACCTGAATGAGACTGCAGCTAAACCAGCACCAGCAAGGCTCTTCAATGCTGTGAGTTATGTTTGGTGATGTCCAACCTTAACAAAATGATCCTGTTTCCATCAGGGTTAGGACAACTACTGCACTCCAATGTTTTCTACAAAACCACTTAAACCAGATGGACACAAGTTTGAAAAATGAAACATAATTTATTATGTAGCTAGTGTTTGTTTTATTTTTTACAACAAAAAAGTTGGTGTATTTTAACGGTACTGGTTAACAATAATTATGGTTTACAGATTTAACTTCTAACAAAAAACAATCTACCAATAAAATAAGAGTGATGTTGAATAATAAGTAATAATTCAATTCATTTTATTTATATAGCGCCAAATCACAACAAGGTTTTCTCAGGGCACTTAAAGGAACATTCACATACATAAAAGCCAATTAGTAAAGTTCTCTATCTAAGGAATCCAGCAGACAAGTTGAATCTTGGCTTCGTTGCAATCTACCGTCCTGAGCAAGCACAGTGGCAACAGTGGAAAGGGAAAAACTCTCTTTTAAAAGGAAGAAACCTCCAGCAGAACCAGGCTCAGGACAAGCGGCCATCTGCTTTGACCGGCTGGTTTGAGAGGACAGGAAGGAGAGACAGACGAACACAGAATGGTATGTCCAGATATAGGTCCAGGTGTATCTGAAAGACAAAAAAAACACGTTAAGGATAGAAAAAATAATTACAAATACAAAACAGGTTGAGCAGAGTAAGTAAAGACGGTAGCAGATTGAAAATTGTGGTCAGTTTGTCCTCCAGTAGTCTAAGCCTATAGCAGCATAACTAAGGGGCAGCTCAGGAAACCCAAGCTGACCCTAACTATAGGATTTAGCAAAAAGGAAAGTCTTAAGCCTAGTTTTAAAACTGGATAATGTGTCAGCCTCACGGACAGAGATTGGAAGTTGGTTCCACAAGAGAGGAGCCTGATAACTGAAGGATCTTCCTCACATTCTGCTTTTGGAAACTCTAGGAACCGCAAGTAAACCTGCTGCCTGAGAGCAAAGTGTTCTGTTAGGAAAATATGGAACAATAAGATCTGTAATATAAGATGGAGCCAGGTTGTTGAGAGCTTTGTAGGTTAGACGTAAGGTTTTGAATTCTATTCTGGATTTGACAGGGAGCTAATAGAGAGAAGCTAAAACTGGAGAGATTTGATCTCTCCTACTAACTCCAGTTAAGACTCTGGCAGCAGCATTTTGGATCAACTGAAGACGTTTTAAGGAAGTATTTGGACATCCAGATAATAAACCATTGCAATAGTCCAGTCTAGACATGACAAATGCATGGACCAGTTTCCTGCATCATTTTTAGATAAGATGTTTCTAATTTTAGTGATATTATGCAGGTGGAAGAAGGCAGTTCTAGTAATGTTTTTAATGTGGGGGATAAAAGACATATCCTGATCAAAAATAACACCAAGATTTTTAACATTAGAGCTGGAGGACAGATTAATGCCATCTAAGGAGGAAGAAAGACTGAAAAATTAATTCCTAAGGTGCTCAGGTCCAAAAACCAAAACCTCAGTCTTGTCTATGTTCAAAAGAAGAAAATTAAGGGTCATCCAGGTTTTTATGTCTTTAAGACATGCTTGTAGTCTTAAGTAGCTGATTGGATTCATTGGGTTTAATGGACAAATATAATTGTGTGTCATCAGCATAACAATGAAAATTTATCCCATGCTGTTTAATAATTTTACCTATTGTATGCATATATAAAGTAAAGAGTATTGGCCCAAGCACTGAGCCCTGAGGAACTCCATGACTAACTTTGGTGTATGAAGAAGATTTATTATTTACATTTACAAACTGGAATCTATCAGATAGATATGATTTAAACCATTTTAGAGCTGTTCCTGTAATCCCAATATCATATTCAAGCTTCTGTAGTAAAATATTGTAATCAACCGTATCAAATGCAGCACTGAGGTCTAACAGGACCAGTGTCACAAGTCTATTGTCTGAGGCCATGAGAATATCATTAGTGACTTTTACTATTGCTGTTTCTGTGCTATGATAAGCTCTAAACCTTGACTGAAACTCTTCAAACAGATTATTTCTTTGTAGATGTTCACACATCTGACCTGCAACTATTTTCTCTAGAATTTTTGAGATGAAAGTTAAATTAGATATAGGTCTATAGTTGGCCAGAATTTCTGAATCAAGCTCAGACTTCTTAAGTAAAGGTTTAATTACAGCAACCTTAAAGTGCTGTGGTACATAACCATCCATTAAAGACAAATTAAATAGATCCAAAATGTGGACATTAATTAGGGGGAATACCTCTTTAAACAGTCTGGTTGGGATGGGATCTAGCAGACATGTGGATGGTTTGTATGAGGTTATTATTTTTGACAATTCAGAGAGCTCAACAGGACAAAAACTGTCCAAACATAAATCAGGCTCTAGTGAAATTTTTAAAGTTGCCTCATTTGACAGGGAGCTAGAGATAGTAGAAGGAAAGATGGTTTGAATTTTCTCTTTAATTGAAATCATTTTATTTATAAAGAATCTCATGAAGTCATCACTACTTATAGTTGTAGGGCAGTCCTTCTCAAATAGTGGGGCGTGCCCCCCTGGGGGGCCCCGGAGCAATGCCGGGGGGGGGGCATGTGCCCCAAGCTTTTTTTTTGCCGCAGGGAGTAGATTTTTTATTTTTTCACCATTCTCATTTTGCTTGTGCGTTCCTAATAATAAAGTTATGATCAAATATGGCCGCCTTGTCATTTTGGGAACCATGCATGAACCGTGTCTCTCCTCTCTGCTGCTGACATGATAAATAAACTCTTACCGTCACCTCCTCCGTCCTCCGCTGCTGTTTTTATGTCCATAGCTCTGGACGTCACTCACAGCGCGCATGCAACAAAGAGTAAACTCAAGCGAGAGCGACACCTGCCCCCTCTTTCCTCTTTTCGTTGACAAAATGTTTTAGTTTTATCAATAAGTTTGTCAAAGCACAATTTACAGAAGTAATGTTTAATAAATGTTAGGACTCTAACCATTCTTTGCTAACAAAATAAATTCACCTCCTCAGTTAAGCTGTTGTTTTTATGATTCTCTGGACGCTTGTCACCCACAGCATGCAGGTGACAAAGAGTAAATTCAAAACAAGAGGGTTACCTGCCCCCTCTTTTTTCTTTCATGTTGACAATTATTTTTTTTTTGTTTGCTTTATCGATGAGTGAGCTCATTGATCTTGACTTCCTCATTTTGATTTTAAAAAATCAGCATACATTGTTTTATTAATTTTTGTTTTGTAGGTCAAAGTGTTTTATAAAACACTCCTGAGTTAAAATGTTGCAGATCAATTTGAATTTGTTATTATTTATTGATTATATTTTATTTTATTTTTCAGTATCAAATGGTCCAAAATGTTCACTGTTTAGTAAGGATTTTTTTTAGGCAAAATGGTGCACTTTAATTTGTTTCTCTTACTGACTAAAAAACAATGTTAATAAAGTTATTCTTTATTGTAAGTTGATTTATATATATTTTTTCCTTTAATATTAATAAGGATACAGTGTTAGGCAGAGGTGTACATATAACAATTTTATAGACATACTATTTACAGTTGCGGCGGATAGTTGGGGGGGGGGGGGGACGCGAAGTGTTTACTTCTTCCTTGGGGAGGGGG